AAAAAAAGAGAAAAGAGGAAGACTTTTAAAGAAAAAGAGTGTTTTACCTGTGCTCTTGGGAAACTGTCACAGAGAAATTATCTGGCAGGTCAGTTAAACAGGAGGGGCAAATCATCTGCCCAGGGACAAGCCAGCTCTTGATGCACATCAGGCAGTACACATGGTCACAGGGCAGACACACAGGATCATGAGCGTCTCCCAGGCAGGTGGGGCACAGCTGCACTCCACACCTGGAATCCAAGCAGGKGATGGGGTTCAAGGCAGACACTGGTTTGGAGGTGCCAGTGCACCCCAGGGGCAGCACTCCCTCCTCCCAGTGCTCCCTCCTCCCAGACCCCTCTCACCTGGCCAGACTCTTGCTGGCTTGCTCCTTGCATTCACAGAGAGTGGTCAKCACAGCCACAAAAGGCCTGTGGGTCTTGAGGTCAGAGTTTTCTTGAAGACACTGGAGGGGAAAGGCCTGGTGAGGGGTGGCACCCATCCAGGAGGGACAGGGATCAGCTGTGCCCTGGGGCAGCCCAAGGCCTGGGGAATTCTTAGCAGTTTTCCATCCTTTCAAATCCTTGTGGCCCCACTGCTTTTTAAAGACAAGGACTGAATTGCCAATGTCATTTTCCATCTTCCTCCTTTTTTTTTCAGGTCTACCCCCTTTCCTCATCATGAGGTATTTCAAACTTTAAATGATGATAATGTAATGACCATTGTGTACACACCATTAAGCTCTAAGAGACTTGAGCATTTTTGGAATATTTGCTTTAGATCTTGTTTTATTTATTTACTTAGAGAGGGGGTATTGCTATGTTGTCCAAGCTGCTCTCAAAYTCCTGAACTCAAGCAGTCCACCTGCCTCAGCCTCCCAAGGAGCTGGGACTATAGGGATGTACCACCACTGCTGGCTAGATCATATTTTACAGGAACAACACATATACATTCAGTTGTGGCAACATGGGCAACCCTTTYTGGTCAAGTCCCCTCCCCACATTCCTAAGCTTCTCTGAGGACTTGTGTGCAMCTGTGTAAACACCCTGCCATTGTCCTGCACCATTCTGCCCTCAGGCCTGGGAGGCCTCACTGCAGGCCCCTTCAGTGACTTCCTGGTAAACAGCTCAGCTGCTTTAACCACTGTATAGCAGTCCCAATGAATATTCTTCCAGATACCTGTTTCCAGTAACCAGTATTTAGTGTGTACTTGAGTTTTTGTGATTCTGAACAGTGCTGTACAAACAATCTAGCGTATGTCTGCTTCAGTAAAAACAAAAGGTTGGGCTGGGAAGCAGCTGGGTGGTACAACACTTTTCTGGCATGCGTGAGGCCCTGAGTTCCACCAGAACACCATAGAAATGCGCATCTCCAGCAATTCATGGAGAATTTATTTTTTTCTCAAATTATTTTATTTTTTAATTAATTTTTCTATGTATATATGACAGTGGAATGCATTACAATTCTTATTACACAWATAGAGGACAAGTTTTCATATCTCTCACTGTATATAAAGTATATTCACACCAATTCTTGTCTTTGTCTTTTGGATAATAATGTCCATCACATTCCACAATCATTTCTAATACCATACCTTCTCCCTTTCCCTTCCACCCCTCTGCCCTATCTAGAGTTAATCTATTCCTCCCACATTCCCCATCCCTACCTCACTATGAACCAGCCTTCTTATAWCAGAGGAAACATTTGACATTTGATTTTTTGGGATTGGCTAACTTCACTTAGCATTATCTTCTCTAACTCCATCCATTTAGCTGCAAATGCC